CGCCTGCCCACCTCGGCCGAACTATCATTGGTCGGTTCATCATGACCATCCGGTTGCGAGGCATGCCGGCCTCCAACCGGTCTACCTTCAATCTTGATCACACGAAGCCACTTTATATCGACTGACCGATCCAAGGTGTACCGGCCTTGATCGTGCCCACGGACTAGCTCGGGCTACCTTTTAGCCTGGTCAGCATCCGCTAACCCAAGCTCCGTCCAACACGTTCAAGACGCAGCTCGGCTATGCCAGTTGCTACCTGACCGGTCAATATTTCCGACCGTGCAAGGCAGGCCACTGGCCATGTCAACAGAGATTAGCTCGGCGCTACGCGGTCCGTCACGTCTGACGTTATCTCAGCTCGACCGTACAGTCAGGTGCAAATCTCCCCTCTCAATTGCCCCTTAAACCCATCCGAGCTATCGTGATTGGGTTTACCTCTGTGACCAAGTCAATCGGTTGAATTGCGCCATTACCGAGCCGAGCATCATGGGGAAATATCTGGTGTCGAGTTATCCCGTTTGGCTGGCCATCGTGTAGGCAGTCTTGTCAAGGGTTGTACAGCTGTACAGCCGTACTGACAGCCGCGTTTCCAGTGCCAAGTGGCTTCACGCCATTGGGTCGTGCAGCCAGCTGTTCTGCACGCGCAGAATTCAAACGGCTGCACTGTTTGGGTGGTTTCCGCCCTTTTTATGCACAGACCAAGGGTCATTCGAACCCTTCACTCTCCATCTTCTTCCAGAGCTCCAAACCCTAGCCTCCCATCGCTCCAAGCTCCCAATCGTTGCTGCCCCTTGCTGTGTCTGCCATTCCTGACGTTGCAGTCGAGCTCTCGAGGCCTAACTCACTTCTCATTCATTTTCGGTAAGTCACACTACCCCTCCCTTGTATTTTCTTCTCCCGTTTTCCAGTTCTCCTTGCTCTCTGCGTTTTTCTGCGACTGTGCTTCGTATTTCCTGCCTGGGACCTTTAAGGTTTCTCCTTTTTAGTCCAATAGTGCCATACCTTAGGAAAACTGGAACTGGTGGAGTGGAGGGGGCTTTCGTGCCCCTGTTTCCCCTCAGTTTGAACGAATGAGCCTTGAGCATAGGATAAACAAGATGAACAGAATGAACACTGTTCAAAACCGAGCTAAATGCTCATTTAAATCCGTAGAAAGAGTTTAAACCGAGCAAAAATGGTTTGTAACTGCTCGCTGAGGCCATAACCGAGCTAAATGCTCAATAAAATCGACAAACCGGTCCAACCGAGCTAAAACTTGCCTTGACTAAGCCAAAGATAGAATCAGAGCCAAACCAGGAAGGCTAAATCAGCCGTGCCGTCCAGCTGAGATAGGGATAGACCGACCAAATACCCAAAAACATTCACCGAGCTAAAAAATCTAGCGTGAGCCGTGCAGTTTATGCCGTGCTAACCCTTGAAATTCTTTCTTAATCAATGCAGAACAAACTAGGACCGACCAAGCCCTTCAGCGTTACCACTGGTGGAGCTCAAAGTCCGAGCAAATACACTAGCGTTTTTGACCAGGATACACACTAAACCAAATAGAACCGAGATAATGGGGAAGTACCGATTTATGGTAAGCTCGCCTGGCGCGATGGCCGAATTTAGAAGGGAGTACAACGTTCCTGATGACGTCATCTTGGAACTTACCAAAAAAGGAGACACACCATTGGGCGACTTAGACCGGTGCCCCTTCACGGTTGTTTCCACTGTTGAAGGAGGGCTTCGCTTTCCCGTGCAACCTTTGATCTGCGAATTTTTGAGGCAGACGAGGCTTTGCCCGACCCAAGTTTCAAATAACACGTACAAAATAATAAACGGCATCGCCGAGCTGAACCGGAGGCTCAGTTTAAATCTCGGTCTTGCAGAAATTTTCACCAATATAGCCTAAGTAGAAATAAGAGTGGGCTTTGCTGGTACCTCATAGTCAAGAAGGGCCGAGCAAAACTCATTGAAGGCAACCCAGACAAAGAAACTAACGACGACGACTTCCTCTGGGTGTCCGGTGCCTACGAGGACACCGAAGCGCCCATACCGGGCTGGTACATTAGGAAAAATTTTGGCAGTGCTGGTAAGTAGCCGGGCTGACCGCACTATCCTCTTTCTGTATTTCATTATTATAATTTGCGCCGATCTAACACTTACCTCATTTCTGCAGATAAGTACCTAGCAGCGGACTACCACCAGGCCAACCAAGAGGCCATCAGAGTCCTGTTTCGCCATCCAGCTGAGGAGATGGAGGCATCAAAACTTCTCGGTTTCGACCAAACCTACCATTACCAAGTGCCGCGCAAGAGCAAAGTCACCGACTTCCTACGTGCGCCATCCCCTGAACCAGATCCCAACTTGCCACCAATCAGACTCGTCCCCCTTACAGCCGAGCAAGAAATGACCAAGATAAGGGCGATCAAATCAATGATTACTGGAGAGGAAGGGGAGTCCCAGCCTCCAGAGGCGACCGGGGGAACATCTTCCACCCCAGCCGGGCAAACAGAAGGAGCTGTGCTTGCTCTCGCCAGCGAACAACCGGCTGGCCGATCAAAGAAAAGGACGAGGAAGGAGATGACCGGGAAAAACCTCGTCGATGAGGATTCAACTGAGGTCGCCTCAACCGAACCGGGGGATCGGACCGAGCAACCGCTGGCCGGCAAATCCAAGGGCAAGGGCCCAGCTACCCCCCCGGTCTGGGCGCCCGAGTTCAAATACCCGGGCCGGGCAGTTTCTTCTGAGGACTCCGTCTACGCGGACAAAGATTACTCGCTTGATTTCAATTTGACCAAGGGGTTAATCTTGCCCGCCGATATGAAAAAACATGACGAGCTTTCCAACCTCACGATCCTCTGCTCGGCGGCGAAATCCATAGTGCTGGTAAGTTCTCCATTTTTTTATGTCAAATTGTTTGCTCGGTTTTTGCGTGGTTTTTCGAGTACTAACGATCTCTCACTGGTTTTCAGGCCGCGCAAAAGAACTACTTGGCCCACGACCGGATGATCAAAGTGCGGCAGGGCCTGCGCGATGCCATCTCGGAGAACGAGGCCTAGAAAGGCGAGATAGGAAAACTCAAGGCCGCGCAAGAAGCAGTCGTGGCGGAGCGAGATACCTTGCTCCAAAAAGTCGACCGAGCTAGCGAGGAAAAACAACGAGCCGTGAAGTCGATGAAAGCTCGGTATCTCGCCAAGCTGCGGAAGCTGGGCGATGCCCATAAGGAAGAAAGGGACAAAGCGGTCGATGAGGCAGAGGACCGTGGATATAAGCAGGGGGAGAAAACCTACGAGCGCCAAGTCCAAGCGACGAAGGACATCTTTTTCCAGTGCGGCTGGAAGGCTGCCGTGGAAAAAGTTGGCCTTGGTCAGGATGCCGAAATGTTCGTGAACCCCCCTGCAGCATATATCCCGGTCTATATGCAGGCCTACGCCAGTGCTACCCAAAACCGGCTCATTGCGGAGGCAAGGAAGGAGGCCGAGGAAGAAGCCGCCGCCGCGCAACAAGCCGAGCAAACTACTGCCGAAGTATCACAAGATGACGAAGTGGCTGATCGGGATGTTGCTGTGGGGGATGGAGCTGACGACGACGCCGAGGAAAACTTGCCCGAGCAGACAATTGTGATGGCCGAGCAGACGGTGCAGGAAGCCGGACAAACTGTAGATCTTGAAATGAATTTTTATTTTTATTTTTTTTTGCATGTAACCGGGCTAGGCCCCACCTTTGTACTGAATCTTCTTCAATCAATGAAACTTTTGAAACTTTTGCTCGTATATCGTCTATTTCTTTTCGGTTGGCTTGTGTATAAATGTCTCGATTTAGACGTTGATAATTCACAACTGGCAGGTCGGCTGAGCCGCGCAATATGCCAAGCTAAAATCACCCAGAATGTTTTCCCACATATCTGGCAGCTTAGCTCCTTGAAAATTTAAATGAAGTGACATTGTAACTTGGCTGAGCAAAATCCGCTCGGTTTGAAATGTTTGCAGAATCATACATTTCCATTACATCAATAAGACCGGGCAAAAATCAGCTCGCCTTGTGAGTTGGTTAAGCTGCCAACATTTCCTTTTGGCCGAGCCAAGTCAGCTCGGCCTCTTATCGGTTGGACAAAACGCCAGCACCGAGAAATCCTGCCGAACAAAATCCGCTCGTTTCCCATATTGGACAAGACACCAATATGCGGACTGGGCCGAGCAAAATCAGCTCGGCCCTTACATTGGGCAAAACACCAATGTTTCAGCTAGGTTGATCATGATGCCAACATTTAGACCGGGCGAGGGAAACCATCTCAGCCCCAGGCTAATGCGAACTTTTCCCTACGCAAACTTTTTGTGCGGTCTGTCTCCATTCCAGCGAGATGAAGTCAGACCAGTCTCATTCAGGGCGGTCTCCTTGCCCCTGGCATCCATGATTGCCTTGTGTCCTTGCGATTTCATTGTACAGAGATGTAATACCAAACAAGAGTGCTATTTTTATTACAAAAGCATTGCTATCTTTTACATCTAGTGCCAAGAGGCTAAGGGTCTGGAAAAGCTTAAACAACATAAGCAAATTACAATTCAAAAGTGAAAAACCTTGAGGTTGGCTGCATTCCATGGTCTGGGGATAGCCTTGCCATCCAAATCTTCCAGATGGTATGCCCCTTTGCCAGCCAGACCAATCACCTTGTATGGTCCTTCCCAATTCGCACCAAGCTTTCCTTCGCCAGGGACCACCGTGTTGCCAAGTACCTTTCTCAAAACCCAGTCCCCAACCTTGAATAGCCTGGGGTGCACCGCCTTGTTGTATTTCTTGGAGAGTTCTTGTTGATAAGCTGCGATGTGGATTAGTGCCCGCTCCCTTCTTTCCTTGGCAAGGTCTAATTCCAATGCCACGGCTTCATTATTCAGATCAGGCTGGAAACTTTCAGAGTGGATGGTTGGCATGCCAATTTCCAACGGGATGACTGCCTCCATGCCGTAGGCCAAAGCGAATGGTGTTTCCCCGGTCGACCTTCTTGGGGTAGTGCGGTATGCCTAGAGCACGTTGGGAAGTTCCTCAGCCCATTTCCCCTTGGCTTTTTCAAGCCGCTTCTTTAGCCCATCCAAGATGGTCTTGTTTGAGGCCTCTGCTTGACCGTTAGACTGAGGATAGGCCGGCATCGAGTTGTAGAACTCGATCTTCAACTCTTCGCAAAATCCGTGAAAGATCTTCCTATCGAATTGAGTGCCGTTATCTGAGACGAGGGCCCTGGGTATACCGAAGCGAGTAATGACGTTTTGCCAAACAAACTTCTTCACATCCTTTTCCTTCATGGTCGCCAGTGGCTCGGCCTCCACCCACTTGGTGAAGTAGTCGGTGGTGGCGATGAAGAACTTGCGATTACCCGGTGTTGCTGGGAGCGGTCCAACAATATCCAATCCCCAAATCGCGAAAGGCCAAGGACTCGTGAGAGGGAGCAAATCTCTAGCCAGCTGGTGGATCTGGTGAGCGAACTTCTGACACTTCTCACACCTGCGAACATATTTCTGTGCGTCCGCCTGCATGCACGACCACCAGTAACCTTGGGAAATTGCTCGGTAAGCCAAGGACCTACCTCCAGTATGGCTTCCACAGATGCCCTCATGCATTTCGTAGAAAAAAGTCTCCACTTTGGCGGGGTGGACACACTTTAAATACGGCCCGGTGAAGGACTTCTTATACAAGGCTCCAAATGGGGAGAGCCAAAACCGCTCCGACTTTGCTCGGATTTTGTGGGCTGCCTTCTTTTCTTCTGGTAGAACTCTGTCTTTTAAGAAGGCGATGATGGGATCCATCCAGGAAGGACCCAAGTCGGTGTAGAGCACCTCGGTTGCTTCCGGTTCATCAATGCTTGGCCGGGGTAAAAACTCTATCATCAAGGGGTTAGGAAAAGCTGTCTGAGCGGAGGCGAGCCCAGCCAATTCGTCAGCCGAGTTGTTTTCTTCGCGGTTGATCTGTTCCACTCTTATCGCAGGGAACTTCTTGATTTCTTCTCGGACCAACGCTTGATACTTGGCCATTCTTTCATCCCTTGCCTCATACTCCCCTGATACCTGATTGACTACCAGCTTGGAGTCGCTGAAGACCATAAGGGCGGTGGCTTTCATTCTCAATGCGCTTCTCAAACCGGCGAGGAGGGCTTCATACTCTGCCTCGTTGTTGGACGCCGGGAATCCGAGTGTAATTGCTTGCTCAATAATCAGCCCATCTGGTGAGGTCAGCACAATTCCCAGCCCGGCCCCATGCCTGTTGGACGCTCCATCAACGAAGAGCTTCCATATCTCGCCAATGAATAGCTTCCAACAATCAGACAGGTTTTGGGAGCTTCTCAATTCAATGTCTCTGGCCGGCTCGTTCTGGTCTTTTTTCTCGTCTCCATCGGGTTCATCTTCCAACGAGTTATCGGACTGTGCTAGTTCGGTTAAACTTTGCCCTTTTCCCACGTGTGAGCCAACGCTCGTCTCTGTTGCCAAAACCTTGGGTTGTGCTAAATCCGCACCAACCAAATCAATCGGGCAAACTGGATGCGTCCCAGGGGCAAATTCCGCCACAAAATCTGCAAGAGCTTGAGCTTTGACCGTGGTGCGCGGGCGGAACCTGATGTCATACTGTCCCAATTCCACGGCCCACTTCAGAATCCTCCCGGTGAAGTCGGCCTTCTCAAAGAGCACCTTGAGAGGGAATTCGGTCAGCACAACTATTGTATGGGCATGAAAATAGTGTGCCAGCTTTCTCGACGCCATCATTAGGGCCAGCGCCAATTTCTCCAAGGGAAGATATCTTGTTTCGGCCGGGAGCAGGGTCTTGCTTACATAGAAGATTGGTAGGTGCTGGATGCCTTCAGCACGAATCAATACCGCGCTCACCGCGTGTTGAGAAACAGCCAAGTAGAGGTACAGCTCTTCGCCCGGCTGAGGCGTGACCAAAATTGGGGCTGAGGAGAGATACGCTTTTAAGTCTGCCAGTGCACGGTCGCACTCTTCATCCTAGAAGAACTTGGACTTCAGAGTTTTGAAGAAGGGCCTGCAACGATCCGAAGACCGGCTGATGAACCTGTTCAGCGCAGCTGCCATCCCGGCGAGATGTTGCACGTCCTTTGTAGAATTCGGGCGCTCTAGCTCTTGTATCGCTTTGATCTGGGATGGGTCGGCTTCAATCCCCCGGTTTGTAACCAGAAAACCTAGAAACTTTCCAGTGCCAACTCCGAAGGCGCATTTGGAGGCGTTCAGACGAAGCTTATGGTGCTTAAGTATGGCGAACATTTCTGCTAGGTCGGTGAGGTGTTCAAACTTCTCCTTACTCTTTACCACCATATCGTCGATGTAGGCCTCCATTGTTCAGCCCAAGAGAGGAGCGAACATTTTTGTAACCATCCGCTGAAAGGTTCCTCCGGCATTCTTTAGTCTGAACGGCATGACTTTGTAACAATATAATCCTCTGGGGGTGGTGAATGATGTAATCTCTCTATCCAGTTTATACATGGCTATCTGGTGGTAGCCGCGATAAGCGTCCAGGAAGCTAAACCTCTGATGGCCAGCGGTCAAGTCCACCACCTAGTCAATCCGAGGAAGGGGAAAGCTATCCTTAGGACAAGCCCGGTTGACAGTCTTGTAGTCAACGCAGACTCGCCACTTGCCATTTTTCTTGGGAACAACCACCGTGTTGGATATCCACCGAGGCTATTGCACTTCTTCTATAGCCCCGGCTTCCAACAAGTTCTTCACTTCTTCCGCGACCACTTCAGCATGGTGCAGGGCTGAACGACGCGTCCTTTGAATGACTGGCCGTGCGTTGGGGAAAACATTCAACTGATGACAGATGAAACTCGGGTCGATGCCAGGCATGTCGTAAGGCGTCCAGGCAAAGGCCTCCAAATTGGAAACCAAGAAGTTGACATAATCCGCTTGCTCGGCGCTAGACAAAGATGACCCCAAGAGGAAGAATTTAGTTGGATCGTTTTCCTCAAAGCGCACTTCCACCAAATCTTCGACCGATTTTTCCTCGGCCTTCCTTCCCACATCTTCAAGGACCTCTTTTTCCTCGGGCCCCTCGATCATTTGGACAAACCCTTTGGCTACTCGGCTGCCATTTACCGCAACGAAGCATTGTTTTGCCATCACCTGGTCTCCCCAAACTTCCTCTATTTGCCCACTCGATGCCGGAAAGCGCATGACTTGGTGGAAGGTCGAGGCAACCGCTTGCATGGCGTGTAGCCAGCCCCTACCTAAGATCAAGTTGTAGGTGGAAGGAACTTTGAGCACCCAGAACTCCACTTGCTTTACTACTGAACCCGCTTTGACCGGCAAAATAATCTTTCTGATTGGCCACTCCGGCTGTGAGTTGAAGCCGACCAAAGGAGACGTCGCAGGGGCCAAGTCCTTGTCTTCTAACTTCATATGTTTGAACACGTCATAATACATGATTTCAACCGAACTTCCCTGGTCGATCAAGATTCTTTTGATATCAAAGTCCTTGACGCGAAGAGTGACTACTAAGGCATCATTGTGCGGCATCTGAACTCTTTCCAAGTCCTTGGTTGAGAATGAAAGGATGTCCCTTTCTTCGGTCTTTCCTTTCTTCACAGCGGGCTGAACAGAGAGCACTTGCCTCATGTGCTCGGCCTTCTTGATCATCCCCCTCAGCTCGCAAACCCTGGCCGGTTTAATGATTCCGTGGATGACGTTGATTACACCTTGCGGAGGCACTTCTAGGGCGGCCAGGCCGTTTGGCTCGACTTGGTCTGCTGGCGTGGCCTTGATGCCCCCATCTATGTATTGGTCGAGATGCCCCGCCGCCACCAACTCCTCTAAATGTTGCATGAGCGGCAGGCAGTCCTCTGTTCGGTGCCCCCGTTCTTCATGAAAGGTGCAGCGATATTTTGAATTGAAGCCTCTCTGGACACTCCCTAACTTGGCTGACCAACGGACGAAGGGTTCGTTTTGAATCTCGCTCAAAATGCGGTAGATGGGGATTTTAAACACTGTGGTGATCCCAGTCCGCGCCTTCAATTTTCTTTTGGCATCCTCCGCTGCATCACGGGGAGGGTCTGCCCGGTCGTTTCAGCGGCCCTTGTTTCTATCATCACGGTTTGGACCATGGCGCTGGTCTTTCAACCGGTTGTTTGGGCGGCTATCCTCCTGCCCAACCGAGTGAACTTTCCCTGTGACCCTCCTGTCCGCCGCGACCGGATTAACTTTCTCGGTTGCGGAGGCGGCATCATCCTCCACACGAATGTGCTCATTGATCCGCTACATCAATGACTCCATGGCTGTAGGTTGATGCATCGTGAGTGAATCTCCCAGCCTATGTCCGACTGGGAGACCCCGTTTGTACTGAGTGATCGCCAGATTGGTGGGGTAGTTGAGGATCTCATTGTATGTTTCCCAGTATTTTGCATTGTATGCCTTCAACGAACACCCAGACACCATCTTGACGCCCAGGAGATGGTCGACCTCCTTCGGCGTTCGTGTGTTGGTATTGAATCTGGTGACGAAGGCTTCCGCTAGCTGCTGCCACCCCTCTATACTCCCCTCCGGGAGCCTTTCAAACCACTTCAGACCCAGCTCTCCCAAGCTTGCTGGGAATTTGAGACACATCAGAGCATCGTTGCGCCGGTGGCCAGCCATCACCTGCCGATAATGACTCACGTGCATGTACGGATCCGTTTTGCCGTCGTACAAAGTGAACTTTGGCTGGTGGAATCCGGTGGGGAGTGGCATACTCTCAATCTCTGGAGATAGCGGCGTGGCTGTAAGTCGTGCCAGCTCTTTGTCCTCCAGCGCAGGGGCCATCACTTTGGGGGCTGGCATCGCCACTTCCTCGCTGTAACGCACTGGAGTGCTTATCCTCTGCAATGCCGGCACTCTTCGAGCCTCCCGACAGCGCACCCTTTCTTCCAATACATCCCTCAAGTCCCTGGAACGTGTGGAGAAAGAGGATCCCGACGCCGGCGTCGGTCGTGAGGGGCGGTATGTGTTGTCGCGAGAGAGGGACCTGCCCTCCCCTTGGCTGGAGCCTCTAACCCCATATTTTCTGGTGATGAAGAGAGAGTGGGTCCTCCCCTGGCGGCGACTGCTCCAACGAGGGGACGGGGTGCGCTCACTGAGGTTGCCCTCTCCAGCAACACCCTTCCCTTTGATCTGGCGTTTCAGCAGGTCTATCTCCGCCGCCATCTTCCCAATGACGGCGTCTTAGTCCTTGAGTTTGTGCTCCAGGCGCTGCGCATGGGACTCCCCCCGGCGTCTGCGGCCTCCAGGACTCTGCGAGCGATCAGCACTCCTTCCGCGTTTGTCTCGCGCACTCCGTGAAGGAGTTTCTAGGCCTGCCATGGCTGGAATATTCAGAGGACCTTCTCTCAAGCGGACGTACTCAGGAGTGACGCCATCGGTGACGGACAGTGGGGCTTCGCCGTTATTGGCCATGGAAATGGTCGAAGAAGCTCTAAGAACAAGGGTTGAGTATCAAAAAATTTCCCACAGACGGTACCAATTGTACGGCGGCGAAATATCCTCTGTTCTCCGTACTCCTTGGTCGTCAAGCTTCTTGTAACGGCGTCTATCTCTGCAACACGAAAATGGTGAGCTGCCCGGCGGTGGTGTGCCGGAAAGACCCTCTGACGATCAAGTCAGACCACAAGCTAAAGGAGAAGGCTATCAGAGAGAGAGAGTTTTTGATAGGATGAATTCGTTTACCTCCAACGTCCCTCTTCCTCCATATTTCTAGCTGGCCATGCAGCCTCAAGATTGTGCGCGCACTACCTCTGCTGTCCTTTCCTGGACAGGTGGCAGTGCTCGCCTCTTTCCACCTTACGCGTGTAAAGGCTCAGTCCTCCCTCCAGTATACACAGAACTGTCCAACGGTATTGAGGCGTGCGTGGAGCGGATGTCCTCTCCTTCACGCCATTGGCCCAGGTGGCATACTTCACCGGAGTACCACGACCGGCCTATCACTTGTGGAGAGTCACTATTACATGCTCATAACCGAGCTATGCGTTGCCGACCTATAACTTGGAATCAGGCGAACGCCTGCCCACCTCGGCCGAACTATCATTGGTCAGTTCATCATGACCATCCGGTTGCGAGGCATGCCGGCCTCCAACCGGTCTACCTTCAATCTTGATCACACGAAGCCACTTTATATCGACTGACCGATCCAAGGTGTACCGGCCTTGATCGTGCCCACGGACTAGCTCGGGCTACCTTTTAGCCCGATCAGCATCCGCTAACCCAAGCTCCGTCCAACACGTTCAAGACGCAGCTCGGCTATGCCAGTTGCTGCCTGACCAGTCAATATTTCCGATCGTGCAAGGCAGGCCACTGGCCATGTCAACAGAGATTAGCTCGGCGCTACGTGGTCCATCACGTGTGACGTTATCTCAGCTCAGCCGTACAGTCAAGTGCAAATCTCCCCTCTCACAAGGTAAAGTCGTATTATGACCAGTCATGGAAAGTTATTCACTTTCAACGGCATGCCATAGCATGCCATCAAAAACTTTGAATAGCTAACCTTATACGTCATGTTTAATTTTTCTACGACTACTTTGTGCCCCGTTAATTCAAGGGACAAACCATGACACTCATTGCTAGTCATTAAATATTTAACATAACAACCTATTTTGCCAGTCGTAGTAGATAAATTTTTTATTAATTCAACTGTTTCTACTTCACCTATTCTGTACAGTCTAAAAAAACATTACAAACAAGTTTCACAAATATATATATATATATATATATAAGTATTAATC